TCTGGTTGATATTATGCAGTTGTTACTATGGCAATTGCTGAATCACAAATGTCTGTCTCTGTGTTCACTATTGCTGAGAAGCCTTTAAGCATTTAGTACCAGGGAGAATGGTGGGTCGTTAGAACTCAACCACTGTCTATTCAGTGGTTATCAGTAGGACAAAGAGACAGAGGTATTGGTGGTGGAAGATATAAACTAGAGAGGCTCACAGACGGTTTACTTTCATAGTGGGGACAGAGGTGAGTATCCTGTTTAACTGCAGACTGGTCACAACCAGAGAAGGTACCATGTTTCAGAACATAAGCGATGCGCTACAGCAGGACTCGGGACAGCCCCAGATAACTCTGACCCCAGCCCAAAGAGTGCACTGGAGTGATAAGGAAACAGAGGCAAGGAAATGCATGTAGGGTTTATTATTTTTGTGTCGATCTGTGTCTTTCTTGTGCAACTAAGCAAATAGCAGTGGTTTTAGAATCCAGTGCAAAGTCTCTCTCTGTGTTATATGTATTACACTATTCATGTGCCCCTTGAGGAGACAAACTGTGGGCTCAAAAAAAACGCAAAACTGGAGTTCTGGGAGATGGTGTGTTTAAGCTATGGGGCAGACGGGGGACTGGTGTCTAAGGAATGGGCAGGTGGCTGCACCTCTGAGGAGGGGATGCCAAACAGAAGATCTGCACCTTGAAAATGTGCCCGGGGTCCTAGGACAGTGACAGTTCGCTTGTAATGATGGCCATAGAGCAACTGCCAGTGAGGGAAGAAAGGGACAGAAAAACAGGATTTGTTTTTTGTTCACTTATCTAAACTTACTCATGTTAACTAGGAGGACCTGGACTCGTCTCCTAAGTGGGAGGCTACTGTCTGGCACCAAACCTACCATCTTTACCTTCTTCACATCCTTATTGGACGCCCAAGCCTGCTATGCTACCAAATTAGCACAATAACTCACATGCGTTGTGTGTGCCAGAAACTGGAAAAATCTTACAAGTAGTGTTCGCTTCTCTACACCTGCTCCCTGGATCTTCTTCAAGTGCTTATCTCTGTGTGTATTACACATACGGGTGACAGTCAAGCAGTACTGAAACAGGAGGGAGGTACAAGGATGCAGATGGTATAGATGTCTGTGATACTACAATTCCAAGGGCTGTGCCAGCAGAAGAGGCTTGGACCAAAGCAAAAGGCTTCATGAAGGTGTGGATGGAATTCTAGGTTGCTGCCTTACAAATGTCCAGCATAGGCACGACTCAAAGAGATGCTTCTGAGCTCACCTGTGCTCTAGTGGAATAGGTTCTTAACCCATTTGGAGAAGGGAAATGCCCCAACTGATTGGAAAGGAGGATACAGTTAGAAATCCGCTTAGAGAGTCTCAGAGAAGATATCACTTGTCCCCTGCTCACTCTGCTATAGCAACAGATAGCAATACTTTCTCTTTATGAAATATAGAATAGCTAACTATTGAGAATGGAGTGCACTAATTGCTGATAGGCAGACCCACAGCAAGCTAAGAGAAAGACCCAGTGTCTTGAAAATGAGGAGGTAGATTCCAAGGGCAGAATGGATCATTGTGATCATAACACAGGCCATAGAACTTCCTCAAAATAATTCCAAGAACAGATCTTTTAGAAAAATATTACATCTTGATTTAAAAATTGTCAGTGACGGAGAATCCACGACAATCCTTGGTAAAATGTTCTAATGATTAATTACCCTCACTGTCAAAAATGTACATCTTATTTCCAGTCTCAATTTGTCTAGCTTCAATTTCCAACCATTGGATCATGTTACATCTTTCTCTGCTACACTGAAGACCCCATTATTAAATATTTGTTCCCCATGTAGATAAAGTTTATAATCAAATCACCCCTTATCCTTCTCTTTGTTAAGTTAAATAGATTGAGCTCTTGGAGTCTCTCTCTACAATTGACCAACATCCTTCTTAATGACACAGGTTCTGTTGTGCCCAGATAGAGAACTGCCTCCATTTGGCTAGATAACATTTTTAGAGCCCTGCAAATCTGCGGATATCCACGGACCATTTTTGCGGATAGTGGATTGGATGCAGATACAACTGCACAGGACTTTACTCACCAGTGGCGGCAGCCTGGGGAGCACAACACACTCAGGGCCGGTGGCCAGCAGCTAGGGGTAGGTCAGAGTCAGGGCTGGCCAGCACTGGCTCACCATGCCGCTCCCGGTCCAGCAGCTCGGGCCCCTCGGGCAGCGCCAGCGCTCCCACCATGGCCTGGCCCAGCAGCACTGTCCGTGCTCCCGGCCCGCCAGCTCCTGGGCAGCAGGGCCCGGCCACGGGGATTGGAGCAGGCGGGGCCCCAGCGCCCCACCCCTCCGTCCCACTGTCATGCATCACGCACTGCCGCTGCCATCTGCCATTGCTTGTGAGCCTCCAGGAGCAGCACGCAATGCGAAACCCCTTCCCCCTGCCCTCCCCTCAAGACCCCACCCCTACACTGCCCCTTACCCCCAGTCCCCACCCTCGCACTGCTGCTTCCCTGCAAGACCCTGCCCCCCACTCACTCCCTTCCCCCACACCCCGTCGCTAGCCCTTGTGAGACAGCTTGCTGCTGGGTGTGGATGCGGATACAAGTAAAAGATGGCTAGTTGGATCGCGGGTTGATTCCGGAGGATGCGGATCCACATTTTTGTATCCGTGCCGGGCTCTAAACATTTTCTGGTAGAATCTTTCCTGCTGTGATTATGAACAGTTTGAACTGTTAGGTCTCCAAACATGAACACTCTAGGTCTGACACCAATCCAAATGCCAAGCCATGAGATGAAGTGAGTCCAGGTTGGGATTTCTGATCCTGCAGTTCTCGTGAGCCAGCAGATCTGGGAAAGACTGAGTGCTGATGGATTGACATTCATAGGTGGTCTGGAAACCAGAAATCTCTGGGCCAACTGGGTGAGCTGAGAATGACTCATGCTTTGTTGTGACAAATGTTCCGTAGAACCTGGGATAATAGTGGGATGGGAGGGAACCCATACGTTACGTTGCCTGTCCACGACAGTTGCACCAATGCCCCTGGAGTACAAACCTTGAGCTGCTTTGAATCAATATACCTTGAATTTCTTGTCAATCTGGGAGGCAAACAGGTCCCAAGATGCATTCCCCACTGCATGAAGATGTTCATCACTGAATTGTGTAACTCCGGCTCGTGATCAGTGGCAAAATGCCTGCTGAGGTTGTCTGCCAATGAGTTCTGAGGCTCTGGGAAGTACGTCTCAGAAACTGTGATGTGGTTCCTGACACACCAGTTCTGTAAGTCAACTGCCTCTATGCACAGTGTAAGGGATTTTGCCCCTCATTTGTTTCTGCAGAAGTTGGACATCATGTTGTCTGATGTTATCTGTACATGTCAGGAATGTATGAGTGGGAGGAACGTATCTTAGTTCCAGGAGATTAATATGCATCCTGGCCTCCCGAGGTGTCCACGTACCTTGTAACCACCTATGTGAGCTTCCCAGTCTATGAGGGATGTTGGGGTTGGAAGGTCGGAAAGAGACTCCAATGCACTTGTGTTCTGGGTTTGTCCAGCAGGTGAGTGAAGCCCTAACATTAATGGGGATTGTCACTATCTATTATGTTTCACCCATTACTAGTTGTTGTACAACTACGGTGTTCATGTTGTGACTGATTGGCGTATATACTGACTAGAGCGAGCGAGGCTTGCAGACAGTAGAGATGCAGCCTGGTGAAAGGCATTACGTAAGTACAGGAGGAGAAGATATCCTCTAGGGTAGTGTATGTCTGAGTCCGTGCTGCAGAATGAAGGGTCCTAGGTGTTGGTTCCACCGGATCCAGTGCCACAACAGACTCAGTGGTTGGTGGATCCTGACCAGTGCTGACAGAGACAGTGTCCCAGCTAGAGCTCGTTTGATACTGGCAGATGTTGGTCCTTTGCCTTGCTAGAGGCAACCAATGTCGGTACCAGAGCCAGTACTGTTGGAGCTTTGCTCCTGTGTGCTTTCCATTGCTGGTTGGGAGGCTTGGGCAGACCTAAGTCCTTCAGATCTGCATGTGAAAACTCACCTGACTTGGAAGGAATTGGGGAGGGATCCCTTTTCCTGGAAGCAAGCTTAGAGGATTGTATATCTCTGAGAGTGTCCCTTACACGCACAGGAAGCCTGAAACAACGGGTCATTAGAGGCATCTGCTCTAGCCTCTGCTCCAGAGCTCTTGCTGCTCGAGAACTGAAACCAGTGTACAGGAGGGTCTCCCAAGCCTGGATCTGATTGGGGTCTGAAGGCTTTCTCTGTGAGGTGCTTCCTCAGTCAGAGCTTTCATCCCTCTCAGGTCCGGGGTGGGAAAGAGTGACACATACAGCACTTGGTGGAGATATGCGCCTTGCCAAGGCAGTGCTGGTGATGTCGCTGATCGAGAAGGAGTGAGGACAACAGATGCAGTTTTTAAATCCTGGAATTCTGGACACGGTCCTATTCCCGAAAGGGGGGGATGGGTCCCCAGGGTGGGAAAAACTAAGCTACACTAATTGAATAAAATATTATAAAACACTATACAACACCAATAAACTATATACAGTTATACTGACAGAGTCGAAGACAATGCAAGGCTAGCTTCAGAGAATTCTGACTCAGGCCATTTAGTGGTAAGAAGGAACTGGAGAGTCGGTCAGTCCGCACATCCCCATACACCAGTGGTGCTGAACACAAGGAGATCCAGGGCGCAGGCACAGAACAATGGACGCTACTTGCAAGATTTTCCACTCTTAGGTGCATGCATACCTACGTGTGGAATACAAATAGGGACCAGCACTCGAAAAAGAAACAATCCTTCCCACCCACTTAAATGGTATAAATCTGAATCATGCTAACATGTCCTGTTTAATAGCAGAAAGACAGACCCAAAAACTTACTCTCAAGCAGCACCTGCTAAACAAATACACAGAATCATTGCTTAGGTTAGTATTTGGGGGTAGGGGAGGGGGGAAAGAGAGAGAGAGAGAGAGAGAGAGAACACTACTCACCTATGATACCACTATCTCTGCTTTCCAGAGTGGATGTAGGGCTGGTAACAGCCCCATAGTTGCAATCCTTGGCTGTAACATTTGTACTGACTGGAGGGAGGGTGGAGCAGGGACTACTGGCTGGTGGTGAGGCAGTGCTGCTGGTCAGCGTGGAGCAGGGACTTATCCGCTGTGTTACTGCTGAAGTCTGAAAAATTGAAACCAGGAACACATCACTCACCACGATCAATTACTGTGAAAAAAATGTATCTATAGCTCACACTAGAGAATTTACCCTCTACAATAAAGAACCACATATGTTTTACGGCTAAAAATGAAAATACCACGATGCTCAGCCTCTGCGAAAGATGTAAAAATATTGACAATTTGGTTTTAATTTCTTTTACGCCCTGTAAAAATGAAAGATCCTCAGTTCTGAATTCAACAGGAAACCTGGTGAAGTTTGCACAAACTGCGATTTACTATATAGTAATTTTACTGTTTATGTCAAAGTTTGTCAGGAAATTTTAGCTGTTAAATTTCCCTGTTAGTATTAAGCTGCGATAAAAACAAAACAAAATAATATTACCTGGAAGGAATGATGAGGTAAAATTTTTGCTTTCCACACAAGCAAAGAAACTCCTGGTGACAATTATACTGCATGATCTGACCTTTACTTAATGCTTATGGCAAGAAATAACACAAACAGGAAATCTGTGCCATTTCCATCTGGTCAGAAATCTCAGTTGGCTTGCAATTTTTGTTTTGTGAATGTTTCTTCCATTCAAGAAAAATAACAATGCTTTTACACTGAAAGAGGAAGTGCCAAGTCCCACATCTAAATGAAAGAAATTCTTTCCCCAGAAGAAATGCTTTCCACACCAGAGGCTGACTTCTCATAATTTAGAGTAGTGAAAGATTGACTTTGCAAGGCAAAACAAGGCAAAAATATGGCAGCATGAAAAAGATTGCATTTTAAAAGTTATTTCTGAAAGAATCTATAAGAAATTGTGCAAATGAATCCCACTAGAGTTAATATATTTAATACTATATACAGAGATTATCTATTAGAAGAGATAAAATCTGTATACATTGCATTTAAAGACTAGTTGTGATGAAGCTGAAATTCTCTGTATCAGGCTACATGTTCAAAAGTGATCTGCATGCTTCCCTGAGAAAGAAAGATCTCTTTTCTCAAGATAAAAATTTACTCGGTTTCACCCTATCCTAGAATACCTGTACATAAATAAGACATACTGTGCTGAATTATTGAGGTACAGCAGGTTTCGGAGAGGGCTCACTGACCATACACAAGTTAATGTGGTCTCATCCACCAAATGTAATGACTTATTAAACACTAAAGAGTGCCTACATCAGACCATGCACATACAACTTTGTGATTTCTTGAAACAAGCATAACTGTAGCTAGCATATTTCTCACAAATAAATTAAAAACCCAACTTTAAAATCTCTTCAACTCTTGGTTTTGATAGACGCTGAATCCCTTGCACCAGAAACAAACTTGATATGCTTTTAGCATCACTAAAGGAAGGCTTCATATTTCAAGTGCTAGTGGTGCTCATAGGCACTGCAGAAGTTATGGGGAGGCTACAATTTCTGCCCTCAGACTCACACGCACGTCTCCCATTAACCTCGCTGTGAATTGTGTGTGTACCAATGGGTAGATTTTCAGCCATTAACTTCTATTTACTGTCTCTATAAAACTTGCCTGTTCAAATTTGTTGGTCACCGGGGACGACAGCAGCAAACCCATGTCATTTGGGTTGTAGATTAGCCTTCAATCGCAGTACTCACGGTAAAGTTCCTGTATTTTATCCACTAAGTCCCTGAGTTCTCGTTTAGCTTTTAGACACAAAAGAACATTTAGTTCCAGCTCAGAATACGCCAGTTGCACTCAGTAGTTCAGCACCATTGATAGCCTCTGAACAGACTGATTCTCTCAAACCATGTCACTACAATAAGGGAAAGTGACTTCATTTCCTAACAGCTTACTAAGCACTGCAGTACATGGTTACTTCTCTTTGCAATTGTCTCTGCTTTCTGATTGAAACATTTAGTCCCCTTGTACAGTAATGTCTTGCTTTTCGGTAAAATGCTATTGGTGTGGAGGAAATCTCAATAGGAATTAACTTTAATGAACACTTGCTTATTTTACAAGGGATACTTTTATAATAGTTATAGAAAACTGTACCTAACTTTTTAAAAATATCATTTGATCCTGGAATCACTGGGAAAAACTGAACACTGAAGCACAGTGCTTGCAAACTACAGAAGGCCTTTGAAATCTAACTTTTTCTTTTCAAGCATTATATACCGTACTTGAAGCTTGAAAAATGATTGAGACTGACTTTTATAAGTAGGACATGTGAAAGATTCATTGTCTTCTAAATTAGAAGGCAGATCCCATGTGTAGCTAGAGGGGAGCTATCCAATTTGTCACAGAAATCCCACTGTGGCTTGTGAAAATGCTCGCTTACTCAGACGGCAATCACCAGCCATTTGAGGGAAAATGGAGCATCGTGCACAATAGGTGGGATTGCATAACTCTAAAAAACATGAGGACTGATTCACCACTGTATTACTCTAATTCCATGCTAGTGTAACTCCACTGATTTAATCATAACCATCTACCGTCATATAACTGGAGTAACACACTGGTGAACCAGGTATATGGTGTTCATCCAGACAGACCACCATGAACATGCTTTTATAATAACTCCTAGAGACTGCTATATAGTGGAAAGGAGGACATCCAGGCACTTCCAACCAGCTTATATTTAGACTGATGGGGAGGACTTTTCTTAGAAAATGTTGATGCATCAAAACAGAAACTTTTTGTGGCAACATACCAGTTTTGATTAAACTTTCATCAGAAAAAGTTTCTCAGGTCCAGAATGACATTTCTGATCAAAACCACAGAGACCCCCCACCCTAGAAAGGCCAATAGCCTGGCCAGGAGGACACTCATCTGGGACATGGGAGAATGGCAGAGCAGAGATATGAAGTTGGGTCCCCCACATCATAGGTGACTGCCCCAAACACCAGGCTATTGGATATTCTAGTGTCTGTCTTGGTAGATTTTCATGAAAAACTTCAAAAGAATTTGGTTTCATCCCAATGTGAAACAGGAGCAATTTTGAAATCTTGAAAAGTTTTGCAGAATGGGAAAGCCATCTCCCATACAGCTCTAGTTATAATTCCCCTTATGATCTGATTCCTTATAAAAGTAGTCGTGTATGAACATTTGCTAAATTTTTGCACTCTTTTTATTCCTTTATCTTTTTAGGTGGCTGCCATCAGATCATCTTTTGAAGCATTAGGAACAAACCAACATGGTTCCCCTACTCTCCCTGCAAAAGGCACACGCACACAGCAATACGAGTAATAGATGAATATAACACTACAAATGTTGCAAACTAAATACTTCACACTCTAGAAATAACAGTACTTGACTAATGTGTCAATTTTCCCTACGTCTAAGAGCACTGCTCTTGAAATATTTAGTCTCCTAGAAACTACAGATTTAAATCTCAGCAAGGTTGACCTAGCTCTTAATAAGCACATACACTTCATACCATAGTTTCCTGTTTTGGTTCCTTCTGGATTACATTTTAAAAGATGAAGTCTATTTATTTTATGTGGTTATAAGACAGGCATTGCCAGTAGTCCATTTAAACTAATAGCCAATCTCTGACAGTGATCAATAAAAAGATGCTTCTAAGGAAGGTGTAAAATCACCTTAATGGACACTTATGTAACAACAGGCTCACAAAGAGAATTTTTTTTTCTAACTGATACAGCTAGTGGCTGAGCACAATGACTTTTATTCCTCTTTTTTAAATCCTAGTAAGTTTAACTGTAGATATTCTTATTATTCATATAAATGTTAAATCTTCTTTGAGATCTATGGATTTCTTTGCCTTAATAATATCTTGTGACAATGAGTGCCACATGTTAAATTATACATTGTGAAGAAACATATTTTCTTGTAATATCTTTTATTGGACCAACTTCTGTTGTTGAAAAAACAAGCTTTCAAGCTTACACAGAGCTCTTCTTCAGGTCTGGAAAACATATTCAGTGTCACAGCTAAATATAAGGTGGAACAGATTGTTTAGCACAAGTAGTTAACACATACTTCAAGGGACCATTCAACTTGAAGTGGCTGGTTAACAGCCCTCCAGTCATAGGGGGATAGGAAGGGAGGGGAAGGGAGATGGGAGGGTGTGTTATTGGGTTATAGATTGCTGTAATAAACCATAAATCCAGTGTCTCTATTCAGTCCATGATTATTAGTGTCTAGAAAAGTTATGAATTGAAGCTCCCAGGTTCATCTTTTGAAAGCGCTCTATAGGTTTCCTTTAATCATGAGGACAGAGGTCAGATATAGAGTGATCACTTTGTGAAAGGTGTTCGCCCACAGGTGATATGGTGTTCTTGTCTTTTATCATTTTCCTGTATGAGTTCATTCAAGAGCATAGCCATGGTCTGGTTTCACCCACTAATTGTTATTGGGGCATTTAGAGCACTGGATGAGGTACGGTTTCTCACCTCTTATTTGTCTCCGCTCTAAATTTTACATTTCTAACTTTTTAACCTTTTCTCAAAAGGAAATATTTCAAGGCCTCAAAATATTTTCATTGCTCTTCTCAGGATCGTTTTTGTTTCTGTTAAATCCTTTTTGAAATGAATGAACAGAACTAAATAATTTGATCTACTTAGATACTTCTATTGCCCCTAGCAACACAGTAGCTATATGCCAGTATTCAAGGTGAGGGTATACCATGATTTTATATAGTAAGACTATAACATTTCTATCCCTTTCCTAGTGCAACCTAACATCTAGCTCACTTTTTGGATCACTGTTGCATGTCACGCAGATATTTTCTTTGAGCTGTCCTGGATGCCAAAGGTCTTTTTTCTGAGTTGCTAGAATTACTTAGAATCCATCAATAGACATGAGCAATATAAATGGTTCCTTCTAATGTGCAATACCTACAGTACATGAATTGCATCTGACACCATGTTTCTCAAGTGCATAGTTCTGTTAGGGCCTTTCAGAGTTCCAAATGGTTTTCTCTATCCTAACTAGCCTAAATAATACTGTGTCATCCATACATTTTATGTCATCTTTGGGATCTTGCAGAATGAAAGGAGATATACAAATGTAAAGTGTTGTTTAGGGTT